AGTATTCTGAACACAAGGTCCTTCAGTTTTATTCATATGAGCAGGTTCTCTTGTGTTTCCAGTCAGTGTTAGAGCTGATACCATCGCTCATGACACATCCCTGGAAATGTATACCAAAGTCAAAACACATGTGCATTAATTCTGTTTCATGAATGTCTGCCTCTTTTTTCCCATAGGATGTATTACTCTGTGTCTTGTAGTGTACACAAAACCAGAATTCCTTATGAATTCAGGTAAACACTTGGGGGCCTAGTACTCATTGATGTGTAATATGTTCCTCACAGCAAACATTTCCTCAGGTCCCCTACAAGACTCCAGGCATCCCCAACTCCCGAGTGGTTTCTTGGCCTTTGACAGCACTTGCAGAAAGTAGGAAGACCTCTTTCTCAGCGAGGGAAGCAGAGGGGGCCAAGTGTGGGGCCGGCAGGCAGAACTTGTCCCCAAGAGTAGCTGTGATTTCATGTGCAGAGAATGAGCTGTGTATTTGCAGTCCATTTTTCTGTGTTCGGAATAAGCCAAAAACAGAGCTTTTGCCGTCACTGTAGTGGAGGGATGCAAAGTATCCTGGACATGGATGTCCACCTGTCTGGAATATGCTGCTTCATTAGGTTGGAATTACTTATTTAATCCTGTAAGATGGGATCATTTTGTTCTAAATTCTCAGACCTGGGCAGGGACATGTGGTGACAGTAGTTTAACCGCCTGCGTTTAGTTGCCTAAGATGTAGGTGGTACCCAGTGGCAGGGACAGTTTTCAGGTACTGATGCTACTCTCTTGGATCCTGGTGGCAGAGAAGGGGGCAGGTGCTGACCCGTACTTCTATGGGTTTCAGCTGCTTTGGGGATTGGTTCTCTTGTGTGGCATCTGCACATAGCTGTCACTTCTGTTCTGCAGGGCAGTGTGGATCCGTGGCGACCTCCTCCATCAACTGGAAGATTCTGCACACCCTACCCTAGAGGCCATCGTATGATCTCCTTGGCACATCCACCTCCTGTACCAGGTTCGGGACCATCCCAAACCCCTCCACCTGCACCACTTGGTAAGATGATCTGGGCAGTATGAGTTGGCTTGCAAAGAACCTTCATCTAATTTTTGTTGTTGTTGAGTCTTTTTAAAATAAATTTGTTAATGTTTATTTATTTTTGAGACAGACAGAGACAGGGCATGAATGGGGGAGGGTCAGAGAGAGGGAGACACAGAATCTGAAGCAGGTTCCAGGCTCTGAGCTGTCAACACAGAGCCCGACGTGGGGCTGGAACTCACGCACTGTGAGATCATGACCTGAGCCGGAGTCGGATGCTTAACCGACTGAGCCACCCAGGCGCCCCGTTGTTGAGTCTTGTACAAGGTGCAGAGGTGGTACCACAGACCATTGCAATGCAAGGAACATGCCTGCCATCATCACCACATTCCTTGAGTTTCTCATGATTGACTTATCATCCTTGTGTCATTTCCCCCACCTTGTGTTGGTACAGGTGTCTCTTGTGGAAATGGAATGGGGCTGTATGCAGAAAAGCAGGCATAGCGCTTCAGCAGATGTGTGCCATACACAGTCCATGTGCTGGGCGGTGGGAGGCATGAGGCGCAGCCTAACGTATATCCATCCAGTTGAGCCCCCAGTCATCCACAGTTGTTTGAGGAGTTCTGAAAACACCTGAACCAGGGCTTTTATGGGGCTTCATCAGAGTTTAAAGAATGGCTCTCCCTTTACCTTGGGATCACCTGAAGCATGTGGGATACCCTGTGCATGTGATTTGGGATCTGACTGGGACAGAGAGTTTAGGTTGCTTGAGGAATGAGGAGAGTGGTTTCTGTTTTTTGGGTTTTTTTTTTTTTTGGTTTTGTGTTTTTGTTTTGTTTTCATTTTTTTTTAACGTTTATTTATTTTTGAGACAGAGAGATACATAGTATGAACGGGGGAGGAGCAGAGAGACAGGGAGACACAGAATCGGAAGCAGGCTCCAGGCTCTGGGCCATCAGCCCAGAGCCTGACACGGGGTTCGAACTCACAGACCGTGAGATCGTGACCTGAGCTGAAGTCGGACACTCAACCGACTGAGCCACCAAGGCGCCCCATGTTTTGTTTTTTTAATCTCTGCACAATCTACTCAAATCAGAATAAACCTCCATCCCTTCTAGGGCCTTTTGCGGATCCACATGTTGCTCCTGTGAGTAACAACAACACTGACTCTACCAAAGGGACCACGAAGGACAAGGTAAATGCTGTGGACATTTTCAGTTGTAACTCTTTGGCAAAACCCTCCTTTTTCTGTTCAGCGCTCTCTCCTGGCTTTGTGTCTGTTTTGTGTGTTGTATGATATGTCTGCTTGTTGTTCTCATTTTCCAAATGCACAGCCTTAACCCAAGTGTCTATGGGGTTCTCTCCTTTCTGCCTGTCAACTCCTTGTGGAAGGTTTAGAACCAATCGTGCCTAGGGCTGAGCACCCAAGGGCTTTTCTGGTATATACCTGGAAATAACCCAGGGAGGGAGAGACCACACTCCACCTGGAAGTCTTTTGGCATGACTTATTTTTTCTGGACCTCCTCAGTGTGGAATCATTGCTCTTGCTGTTTCTTCCCGTTCTGTTTCTTTCTAGGGGATTAATGTGTTCAGAAAATCGGCAGTTATCCTTATGTTTTGAAAATGCAAACTGCCTTCACTCCAACTTCTATTTTTGTATGTGTCATTTAGAGTGGTCTTAGACAAAGTATATGTAATACCCATCAACATTCAGCCTTTTATTTTATTTTATTTTATTTTATTTTGTAAACGTGCTGTCTGGAATCCCTTCAGGTGTGCCCTGGGTATACATATTCTGAACTACGAGAGGTGACATATTTGTCCTAGAAAACACGCATTGCTACATGCGTGGTGAAGAGAGACAATCCGTAATTACCTGCATTGTAATTCTCCACTGTGTCCTTTGTGTTCACATGAGCACGTTCTCTTGTGTCCTCTGTCACTGTTACAGGTGAAACATGGAGACGTACAGCAGAAACGAAAGTGTATTTGTGTTAATTCTGTTATTTAGAATTTCAGCTCATCTTTTAGAGAACAAAAGTACCCTGCGAGTTGTACTGTATTTAACTGAGAAGTACCACTGAATGAAAATAAATTAGCTAAGCCTACCTAACATGTATAGGTAACATGTTTCTCTAAGAACATGCTTTTCGAGGTTCTCTGCATGACCTCAGGATCCCCATCCCCGAACATGTCTCTGTGCCCATGGATAGCACTTGCAGAGAGGAGAAGACCTCATTGTCGGGAGAGAAGCAGATCGGGCACAGGCGGGGGCTTAGAGGCAGAGCTTTGGGCCACGAGGGCTATGATTCCATGTGTGGAGCCTGGGATTGTCATTCCTTCTCAATCTGTAGTTCTTCACATACAAATAAGCAGCCTCTGTGGTGGAGGCGGAGGCGGGGTGGAAGGTGATTCTGGACTTAAATGCCTTCCTATCAGGAATATGCTATTTTATTAATTTGGTACTCCTTCCATAAATCCTCTCGGACACGAGCTTGCTGTTCTACATTTGCACACATGTGGGAACACTGGTTTGTCCCCATAGCATCCGTTCCCCACCCCCAAAGCTATAAGTGGAACCCAAAGTATGGGTAGAGATTTTGGCGCTGATGCTGCCCTCTTGGAACCTGGTGGTGGGGAAGCTGGCAGGAGATGAGCACTGCTTCTTTGGGTTGCCACTTTTTGCTGGTGTTGGTGCTTTGCTCTGTCCTACGAACATAGCTTTCTTTTCTGTTCTGCAGGCCATTATGAATGCAAGAGGGCCTGGTCCTTCCCCAGGATCGCCTTGCAGGCTGTCCCCCACGGACCACCCTTCACCACCAGTCACGGGCTATGGGCCACCTCCTCCACCAGCTCCTCCACGTACTACATTTGGTAAGATGACCTGAACTGGATGAGTGACTGATCAAGTGTATTCGTCTTCTTGGTGAAAGACTTGGTGGGAATGATGTAGGGATGCTTGTGAGGGCTTGGCAATTCAACTGCAAACCTGCCTGGGGACAGTGTCACATATCTCACGTTTCTCAGGACATAGTGTACAATGGGCTGTGTCATTTCCCTGTAATGAGGTCAGCTGTAGGTTTCTCTTGTCTACAAGAAAGAGGAGTTTTACACAAAGGCAGATGTATCAGGAGTACTGGTGCCTGTCTGAAAGACACAATGCTTTGAGCTCCATGAAGGATGAGATGCACCCCTAAGTGTAGGTGCCTCAGGTGTCCCATCTGAAAGGGGGCACATGCATTATATGACACAGACCTTGTGGTCACCATAGTGGAAGTACCACTAAAGGATCCAGTGCAAAACTGGGGGAAACTTGAATCAGGCAGGAATAGAAGGGAAGTTGAGCACAGTAAGCAGAGTTTGAGGAGGTGCAGAGGGGAGGGCGTTGGGGTCAGTAGGATGGACTTGGAGGCCATTTCTGGCAGGGCCCACACACTGGGAAGGGAGCATGAGGACAGTGTGAAGTCTGCAAAGGACTGCTGCACGGGTTCAAC